ATAGAATAGAATAGAATAGAATAGAATAGAATAGAATAGAATAGAATTATTGGCCAGGTGTGATTCAACACACAAGGAATTTGTCTTGGTGCATAGGCTCTCAGTGTACATAAAAGAAAAGATACATTCATCAAGAGTCCAGAATCATCAGGTACCACACTTAATGATAGTCATAGGGTACAATAAGCAATCAAATCATACTAGGAAACAGTCAGTATAAATCGTAAGGATACAAGCGACAAAGTTACAGTCATACAGTCACAAGTGGGAGGGGATGGGTGATAAGGAGTGATGAGAAGATTAATAGTAATAGTAGTGCAGACTTTGTAAATAGTTGAACAGTGTTGAGGGAATTATTTGTTTAGCAGAATCAATGTATCTCTAAGGACAATACAGAATCACCTGACACTTGAAGAAAATCTTTGCCAGGACGGTCCTTAACAATTTGAGAGCAAATCCACCAGGATTTCTGTACTTCAGAGTTACATAATGTTTTCATGGCAATGATCCTTTTTGATCTTTGAGGGGCATGCAAGGAGGTATATTCCAAACAGCAGGGAGGAGAATAAAAGTTCATTTTGACTCTATTTATAGTTACACTGAATTATACAGTGAAATATACAAATCTACAGAGCTGGTCTTCTCACCTTCAAGCCTGCCTATGGGTTTCCCAGAAGCAACTGGCGGTCAGAACATTGAACATGATGGACAACAATTTCTTTGTTACGTGTATATCCCCTCCTCCCATTCGATCTCCATCCAAGGGTTTTTCCTCTGTTCTTCTTCACCTTTCCCTGCTAAAGAGATGCATAAGACATGAAACAAGCAAGCAGGTTCTTTTCAAGGGATCTGCTGCCCAACTTGTACGAGTTCAAAGGAATTTATTTGCTTCTTTTAACAGGCTGGAACTTCACTTCTTCTTACTACCTAAACAAAAGTATATGACAATATTTCATTTTATCCGTACAGCTGAATGATGGAAAAAAAAATCTAATTTTGGTTTCATAGACCTTCCACAAACACTGTAAACAATCTGCTCATCTCCCTAAATGCTTTTTTAAAAAGCAAAGCATAGATAAGGGTGGGTGATGATTTCTATGTTTGACAAGAAGTTGTTGCAGACAGTGGTTATTATGGAAATTATTACCATCAAAGCTTAATGGAAATTTGTTAAGAATATTATGCTAATCTCTAAAGTGCATTAAGCACATCATTACACTAGTCTAAGAAAAAGACATTACAAATGATGTCATCCATTGCTACTACAAAGTTAAAATAAAATTCTCTCCAGCAATGTAAAGGAAATGAATTGTTTTGCTTATAATCATACAAATACATTCAACAAGAGTAATAAGTCAGATAGAGATTAATAATAAGCATTGATTGCATTATTATTCCACCTTGCTTCCAAGGAGACTAAAACATTAGAGCAACAATAAAATGAGTTTGGCAGACCAATACCACATCTGTCTAACATCACTCATTTCCCTTCTGATCTGAGCTGGGTTTTCATCAGAAGTTTTCCAAATAAACCAGAAAAACTCTGTTCTCAAGGGACAATGGCAGAAGAAGAAACAGATCCAAATACTACACCAACTCTCATAATCTAGTGCCTTCCAGAAAAACAACACTGGATTTATTTATCTACAGTTTGTTGACTATTCTACATCTGGCCAAGTTAATTCAACACATTAAGGAACCACATGATGATTTGGGATGCATTTTGAGCCAAACCACTTGAATCAGATCACTGGTCCATCAAACCAGTATTGCAAACACCTGGGCAATAGATTTTCAGGGTTTCCCACTGAATTTTTCATTCTATGCTATGCTATGCTATGCTATGCTATGCTATGCTATGCTATGCTATGCTATTCTATTCCACAGAATAACCTCAAACTTAATTATTGCGTAGTAATATAATGGTATGTATCTCATAGTGCATGTATCTCTATCCAATGTGAAGCATCTATGATTCCCATCACATAGATTTTTCTTCTTGTGCTATAAATTGGGAGAGAATCTGGGAGGTTGATCAAATGATGGCCTACTCTAAAACTCTGGCAGTGTA